CCTCTCACCCCAGAAAGAATGGCTATCATCAAGAAATCAACCCATAACAAACGCTAGAGGTGCTGTGGGAAAAAAGGAACTGTTCTCTAATGTTGGTGAGAGTGCAGACTGGTGCAACCACTGTAGAAATCAATGTAGAAATTCCTCAGTAAACTAGGGTAAGAGGTCCCATTGAATCCAGCTATTCCCCTTCTGGGGATTTTTCCAGAAGAATTCAAAACATCATACCACAGCAGTATATGTGCACCCATGTTTACAGCAGCACAATTTGTCACAGCTAAATCCTGGAAACAACCCAGATGCCCATCATCTAAGGAATGGATAAGGATAAGCAGACGTGGTACTTTTATACAATGCAGTACTACTGGGCCATAAAGACAAATAAACTTAAAGATTTTTATAGGTAAATGGATGCAACTTGAGACCATACTCATTAATGAAATATATCAAACTCACATGTTAAACATCGTGTTGTCTCTCTGGTATGAGAAACTGACAGAGTAAATGATGTCTAAAATGTACAACAAATGCTGTGAAATGGGGAGAAATTTTTCAAAAGGAAAAAGGAACTAGGAGGAAGGGGAAAGCGGAAAGGAAGGAAGGGAAAAGGGAGAAAATGCAAATTAGTTATATTCTTGGTGTCTCTTAGTTCATAGAAAAGGAAGATTTGTGCTAATATCGACTGGAGAAGTCTTTATGCCTTTATCTTGTACTGAGTACCTAATTTACAGATAATAATATGCAATGTATTAACTATTGCTATTCTCCTATCATCTTGTTATGAAACTATTTTACCTTTTCTCTATAAATAAAATTTTTAAAAACTTTAGGAAGAAACATGGAACAAAAGAAAAATTTTTAAAATGAGCTTCTAGTGTAGTAGGAGATCTGGAAACTCCCTACTTTCTACGCTAAGTGAAGTAATACGGCTGATCCTGCAAGCAATGGACACCGGGCCGCACCTGTGGATTCATCCCCGCCTTGGCCGTGAGGCTGACGTTAAGACACCTGTCACACCCACTGACTGCTACTCCTTCCCCTAACGAGTGTGATCACCGTTTCTCTAGTCTGGGTCAAAAGCGTTCCTATATAAAGCTGCACCCAATCCCAGTGAATCTGCAAATGACAATGACTGGCAAGGAAGCATACAAATATAAAGCAGCACCACAGAGCAGGTTTCCTTAGTTATCTGGATACCTTCCCCCTTTATCCTTCTGTGAATTACCCATCAAAATTCAATCCTACAGCTAGTCAGCAAAACTGGTATCAAATGCAATGTACTACATCTCTCTGACTTATTTACGAAAAACAGTTTTAAAAAGGAAAGCAAATAGCACATTCACTGAACAATAAAAATTGTAGGAAACAACAGCTGCAACGTTACAATTTAAAATTGGAATGAGATTATGAACAAAACGCAACAGAAGTTAATGGTAAAATTGCAGCTTTTTAATGTAAATGACTTGGAATGACACAGAGTCATTCTGACAGTATTAGACTCAGTAAAACTAACAAAAACAAAGCTATTCATATGGAGTTAGGCAAAGATTCCTTAGCTCTGATAGCAAAATATTCGCAAGAGAAAGGTAACTGATGACCTGTACTATACCATCTCTCCTCTCATCAAGCCTACCTACGGCTGACGAACTGATCTACTCCAAAGGCTTCTTTGGTTTTCTCCTCTTGCCACATTGGGTCTGCCTCACCCAATGGATTAGTGGAAGAGTTTAGCATTCTAGTACTACTCTATTACTCTGACAGAAATGTAGCAAACGCACTGGGCGTGCTGGCGCATGCCTATAATCCCAGCACTCTGGAGGCTGGGGCAGGATTGCTGTGAGTGTGAGACCCGCCTGGGCTACACAGTGAGAACTTGTCTCAAAAAACAAAACAAAACAAAGGCAATAAAAAGTAATTTAAAAAAAAAAAAAAACCACTCAATATGATACAGAGCTTCACCATACAAGACAGCACGAATTCAACAATGACTCTTATACTGCACGTGGACTGGGCAACTTCGCTGAGGATAACAGTGTATAGTGTAGCAACCATTGTTGATTCCTATCATTTTGTTTTGAAGTCATGTATTGTTTTGTGTTGTTTTTTGTTTTCGTCTTTATTGTTGTTGTTTTGTTATTTTTTTCCTCTTTAAAATAAAAAAAAAAGAAATATAACAAAATGGGTTTAAATGTATTCTTTTTTTTGTTTTGTTTGGTTTTGGTTTTGGTTTTTTTTTCCGGTACCAGGAATTGAACTCAAGACCTTGTGCTTGCCAGGCAGGCGCTGTGCTGCTGAGCTAAATCCCCAGGCCCAGGTTTAAATATATTCTTAAAAAATTAATCAGTATCAACATCATTTAGAACATGAAAAACATTTCAAATTAACAATCAGTTAAAATCCAACTTAAAGAATTTGACAGAGCTTAGAATTTAGATTAATAGTATTATCCTCAAGATGGTCTTGTCCTCACAAAGCTCTTAATAATTTGTTTCAGTATATAATTTTCTGACTCCACCACTCAAAAGGATTGGAACTTGTGCAAATGCAATGGATGTTCTTTGAATTATGTTTCAGATAAAGGTGACGCTTGACCATTGCCAAAAGTCCGAGATCACACAGAGAGATTAAAAGTTGTGGTAGGCAGGGAGATGGGCAGTGGGAATAAGGATGGGTAGAGGCAAAAATTTCATGATCAAATGAATGCTGAAATATTTTTCTTTCTGTGTTTCTTCCTACATTAGATTAGTTAAACTAAGTTAAAAAATCTAAATGCCTGAAAGGGCACAATGCCAACACCACAGGCAGAAGTTACCATCTAAAAACGAACTGGGAACTGCAGACAACTTAGACTCATGTCAGTCTTGAAAAGCTAAAGTAGCAAGTCACTCAACAAGGGCACTGCTGAGCAGGAGTTTCTACATAACCTTGAAGGTCTTCAGAAATCTCAGGCTCTTTCCCCACATTACTGAATTCCAATATTCACAACTTCATAAAGCTGCTCCACACCATTAACACACACACAAGCACTGGTCAAGAACAAAGGCTGCCGAACTTCTTCTGTGAAGGACGAAACAGTTAATATTTTAAGCTCTGCAGGCAATATGGCCCCTACTGAAACTACTCAGTTCGACCACTGAATAATGAATCAGGTATTACGGAGATGTAACGGATGTGTAACAACTGTTCTCATCTAGAGTAACAGGACTTCAAATGCACAAGGCAAAAAAAAAGACGAGCGAAAGAAAAAATAGACAACTGAGCAAAAAGGGAGATTGTGATATCGCTTCTCAGTATTGACAGAACTAGAAAGAAAACTAGCAGAGATGCTGATACATGAACAACACTATCAACCAACCTGACCTAACTGAATTGATAGTATACTCTGCCCAAGAACACATATTTTTCAAATGCAGATGGATAAACACATCTCCTAACATGCCTTATAATTTTTAACAATTCAAATTTAAAACAAGGTTCTAAAATTTTGATATAAGCATGGATGCATCTTGTAGACGGTTGGATTTCACCACAGGATATTCAAAGGTGAGCTCTTTATTAGAACCATGTATGTCAGGATGTGAAAATCCTTCTTGTGCGGCTATTCATTCTACAAATAGGATACTCCCCATATAATTTGTGTCTGGAAGGTGGGACAGCACATCTAGTCCTTAAAACAAGTCCTGACATAGAAAACTAGAATTATGCACATTACGTACTCCAATCATATGGAATTAAATTAGAAATCAACAACAGAAATATGGGAAACTGCAAATACTGCATTAGGATATCACATGACAAAATTATAAATAAATCATGGGTAAAGAAGAAATTTCAAAGGAAATTAGAAAATGCCTTATGAAAGTGCATGGCACTGGCTTAAAAACATACACATAAATATAACGAAACCACTCAAGAATAAAGCCTTACATTTACATTTGATTTTGGACAAAGATATTAAAGTAGTTCAATAAAGGGTCTTCAGTAAATGGTGGTAAAACAATTGGATATATACACAAAAAAATGTAAGATGCCTACCTCCTATCAAAAGCAAAAAAGCTCAAACTGCATCATGCACCTAAATGTAAAAATAAAATGATAAAGCTTCTGGAGAAAACAGAGGAGAAAAATATTTGATCTAGGGTTCAGTAAATATTTCTTGGGTACGATATGAAAAGCAGTCTATAAAAGAATTGATAAACTGGACTTTAAAAAATTAAAAAGGCTTAGTGCTCAAAAAGCATTCTTAGAAAATAAAATGGTAAGTCAGACTGGAAGACAACACTTTCCAAATCATGTATGTGATAAAGAATACTGCTGCCTCCCGCACAGGTTCCCTTTCCCAGCCCACAAGGACTAGAGAGCACCGCGCCCAGGCAGGTGTGCATACCTCCTCTTAGCATCACGTCTGTAAATCACACCACAACGAGCTGGTGCGAAGCAGAACACTGCGGAGGTGAGCTATACTCTGCTATGACCCACGCCCCAGCCGCAGACTACCGCATCTGCCATACTGTGATCGCAGGTGCTTGTTTACACGGCGGTCTCTTTCCCCTCCCTTCACAGAATACGCTGAGGCCTTGCTTCAGGACAGAAACATCTGCGATCTTCAGCACCCAGTACTGTGCGGCGCTCAGTGCAGTTAATGATACTGAAAAGAAGACTGGGTTGGTCGTTACTACAGACACAAACTCCGCTGTACAGTCTCAACATCGAAGGCTCTTCAATCTATGACTGCTTCACTAGTGAGCAACCAGGAAGGGGGAAGCATGTCACATGCTGAGTGCTCCTAACATTTTGGTCGCTCTTTGCTAGACATCCAACTAAATCACCCTGTCAAAATAAATTCAGTGTTTCAATTCCACGCACAAAATTAAATAAGGCCCAAGAGAGAATCCCCTTTTGCAACTAGGATCTTGACCTTACGAGCGTAATTTCAACTCTGGAAGCTAGCACTGTGTCACGTATCACAAACACTGACAAAGTGAAGGAGACCAGCTTACCTGCCAGGAAACTGCTCCCAACACCGCCGTCGCAAGAAGGCTGAAGAAAACCAACTGCTCTGAAATTAGGCAAAAGTGGCGCATCCCTTTGGATGCCATGATTCTGTCAAGGCTATTGTCATCTGCCCTGTGGGCAAAATACACTTTATGGCAGTCATTCAGTTTGGTATGGAATCCCCAAAGCGTCAGAAGAAAAATAATATGGCAAATCATCCAGAAAATTCCAAAAATGGAAAAGCCTGGTATTACAAAATACCAGAGATGAGTATCTCTCAGTTTAAATGCTGACAAAATAAAAAATGTAAGCTCAATCATCCCACTGAAAACAACGGAAAGTCTTCTGCAGATTCTTCCGCGGTACAGAAAGGGTTTCCATCTTTCGGTCACTGAAAGTCCACTAAAGTAAATGTCAAGGAAAGGATCAGTTATTAGGCAAATAAAAAAACAGGCAAAAGCAACTGGATTTCTGGGAGTTTCCAATGAAGAAAAAAACAACACCACTGCAAAAATAACCAAGTTTGGAATAGCTAGGAAGGACTTCATCCTCAGGTCAATAATCAGCATGGCCAAGGCCACAACAAGTAAAATGACACTCAGAGACTTCTCTACCAACATGGTGGTGCTGGCAATGGCAAATCCAACAAGTTCCAGAAACTCCACTGTAGTTAGTAAAGTGGGTCGATGACGGACGTAGCCAGAAATCCTTTCCACGAACGCGCATAACATCCTTAACACTATGGAGGTCAGAAGTAAGTATTTAGTTGATTCTTCTTTCACATCACTTTTAAAGGATGAATTATCGAGAAAACACAGAAGGCCAAGCAGGAATCCAAACCAAAGATTGGAGAGACTTAAGCTTGCTGCTTCCATTGAAAAATAATAGTAGAGTATGCTGGCAATGCCAAGAACAAAAAGACCAAGGATAAAAATTACCAAAATTAAGGAGTTGGCTGTTTTTTCCCATCTTACATAAAGACCTAAACAAATAGCCACCAGTAGGTTTATCCTGGCTAAGTAGCCGAGGTACCGCACTGAAGAATGCATGTTCACTTCTCTATTTACTTCCTCCAGTCTTGTCATGGCGAGGTAGAGACAGTGACTAAAGCAGTAACGCAGTGATTTACACATGTACTCCAGCAGTGCGGGCTTTCTCCTCAGGTTACAAAAATTCACTTCTTGTATCTCATCCAACCAATCCAACGCATCAAATCCAACGTATCAACATTTTCTCAAGTAGAAATTTTGTTTACAGTGATCTAAAAGGAAGAAAAAATATGTCAGTGTTAACTTTACTTCACATTTCATGTTTTTTTAAACACAGAATAAGTAACTGACAAATGAAGGTTCTTCTGAAATCCAGTTTAACATCTGGTTTGTAGATCTCTTAAAGTAACTGTTTTTGGCATTAAAAACTCCGTAGTTTATTCAAAGGAAAATGGCTGTGCTTTCTATTCATCTTACTAACCCTCCATGACTAAATCACCATCAACGGTCATCACCATCACCATCACCATCACCATCACCATCACCATCATCTTCCAGAGATGAAAATTTGACTAATCCATTCTTATTCCAGTGTTCAGCTACGTTTAGGTTGTAGCCATGGCTACGGAAAGCTACTCAGCTCCTAACAGAATGAACTACTGCATTCTTACTTCTAGTAACCATTACAATCCACCTAAATCCCCTGCGTCTTTTTACAAACCAGCTCTAATAATGCTGTAAAATCTTAGATTTTACACTGTTTAACTAATAAACTCACTTAGATGTAAAATTTAACTGTGTTAAAGTTACTCAATTCCTAAAGATGGCTTATAACTGTTCCTGAACTTTTACTTCTACTAAATTACTCTGACAATGAAAACTTGCATTCTAAATCTAAAAATAACTGTAGCAAGCTGAAATTTAAAAAACAGGAATGATCATCAACAGTCACTGTAAAGGAAGAACTTTTTCTATCCTACTTTTAAAAGGTACTAAAAGATTACTTTGTTAGAATACCCAAAAATTATTTCAAACATGAATGTCCACAGTTGCACCTAAAATATGACAGTGCTTTAAAAAAAATGCTGTAACCGTTCATTAGATAATTACTCAAAATTTCCTAGTGGATTGCTTCCGAAGAACGTATCTCTTGTAATGGTGATGGCCATACAATACTGAAGCAGAATTCAAGTATTCAAAAGCAGTTTGCGAGCTGGGGATATATTCAGCGAATGGTGGAGTGCTTGCCTAACGGGTGCAAGACCCTGAGTTCATTCCCCAGCACAGGACAAAAAATACACAAAAAACACTAGGTTTTCATCGGTTTACAGTTTCATAACAGCAGTACAAAGACCCAGGAGAAACACAGGACAACCTGGAATTAACTCATGAAGTACCAATCTGGTGGAAGAGAGATATTACTGAAAGAACTTCAGTGTCTCTGCAAGGTTCCAAGCGGTATCAGGAATTCTGCCTTGTTGGGGGGCAGTGAGGGGATTACCTGGAATCTCACGCTTGCCAGGCAGGCAGTAATTCTACTTCTACATGTTCAATAACCATGTATTTTGTAACTACATTTATTTAACTGAGTAAGTATTCCAACTGATGTGCTTCAATTACATTTTCAATCATTTCTTAACACACAATACTAGTAAGAATATCTTCAGTAATTCTGGTTTATCTTTTAAGTGTGAGAAACTGACAAAATGTAGAATAAACTGAATTATGTGTGTGTGTGTGTGTGTGTTTAAATATTACTCTTGTGTGTTACAGAATCATTCACCAAATATGTTAAGACATACACCCTCAAAAGACTGACGGTACAGTTTGGGCTCAGACTATTAAAATTACTGGAGAAAAAAATCATTACAGTAGGCTATATCAGCACACTGTAAATTCACAAGACACCGTTCTTCGCTTCTCTGTGCTCAAACCTCTTTTCCTTCTTCTTAATTTTTTTTTTTTTTTCCGGTACCGGGAATTGAACTCAGGACCTCGTGCTTGCCAGGCAGGCGCTTGTGCCGCTGAGCTGTATGCCCGGCTCCTCCTTCTCAGGTTTCTGATCGAGACTTCCCATGACATTTTCCTCACAAGTCTGTCTCCTACAGTCACCAGAAGGAAGCTCTCCTGTATTCCCAACACCACAAACCTACTTCTAACTACACCTCTGGACAGAAGGGCAGAAGGCTGTCTATCCCCACTTCAGGTTAAATCACCCATCCCTCCTGCGTATCTCTCCCCTTCTTTCTCTTCCAGAGTATCACCCTCCAACCTTCACTTAAACGTTTGTAAACCTGCTTTTCTCAAAGTGATACAAGATAAACCACCTCAGAAACAACCCTTGTCCGTCCCGTCTCTGCTTCCAGGGTCAGTCGTCCGTCCCCTTCTGACCCCTCACATCGACTCTCATCCAGTTACTTTCCAAGACATGAAAGAGTAGTTCCCACCGCATGACGGTTCCACCAAATTCTAAATACTGAGGATTTCCCACTCAGTGTACTGTGCATACTTGAACAGCCTTTAACTCCAAGTCCTCTCACCCTCTTTCTTCCTCTGACTTTCTCTTCCTCTGACTTCCCAAGATCGGGTCTCCGGATTTTCTTCCTGACTCACTGGTCTCTCTTTAAAAGTTGTTCGGAGGCAGGAGGATCGCTGCGAGTTCAAGGCCAGCCTGAGCTACAAAGTGAGCTCAAGGCCAGCCTGCACTACATGATGAGAACCTGTCTCCCAAGGAACCAAAAAAAAACTTAAAAGTTCTCTCCTTCAAAGTAGCCTTTGGCTACTCAAACCCAAACCTAGGCTATTCTCTTGCTACACACTTTCTTTGAGGGGTCTCAAGTATTTCCAAATCTTTAATTACATAACATAACTAATCCATATCATGGAGTACATGCAGCCACCTTCTTATGGGCCAAAACAACCCAGCAAATAATTACTTCTAAATGGTTAATCTACAGAACCTCCCATTCTTCTTCCAAAAGACAGCCTGAATTAGCGTAAAACAAAAAAAACATCCTCCCCATACTTTCCTCTTGGTCTCCCAGCGCGAATGATTCCAACGAAAATTACTCTGAGGCAGATAAAAAAGCAGCATAGAAAGCCCGTCAGTATAAGGAAGAGCTAACTGATCACCTCGAGACGCTATTTTATAAAACGTCCTCGGCTGGGGCTGTAACTCGGGGTCGCTCTGGGTCTCATCCCTTACATCACAAGACAGAGAAACCCATGCAACTCCTCTTCCGCGCCACCACCTCCCCCTTCACCCTCAGCAGAGCCTTTCTAGTTTTCCTGAACATCTCAGATATTCTACTTTTCATTCCCGAAGTCTCCACTCCAATTCGGCCACCAGCACCTCACGCTTGAACGTCCTTTCTTGTGCACTACAGAGGCGTTCATTTCAAACCTAAATGCATCCAGGCACTCTGCTACCCACCAGACTCTCCAGTGACTTCCCATCGTCCTGAGCAGCGACGTCTAAACTCCTTACGACGCTCTACACAGCACCCTCTCCGCACTGCACCTGAATAACTCTCCTGTACAGTTAGCACTCTGCCTCTGAAACTCTGCATTCCAGACACGCTGCTATTTCAATTCCCTACCGCACGAATATTATTTCCTGTCTAGGTACATCCCTTTCTCTCCCCCTGTGTGTCCTTGTCTTCTCACCTGGCTTACCCTGACCCTCAGGTCTCTACTTAAGTCATTTTAAGACAATCATCC